ACCAATCACAACACACACTGGCCCAGTTAACCAATCACAGCACATTTCGTATTTCAGAAGGTGGGCCTTCATTTGATACAGGAACTATTCGAGCCGTTCATGCTAGACTGGGGAGAGAGGCGTTGTAATAATGTAAAATATGTGAAAAATAATGTGTTTTTAGAACAACCTAGTATGAGAGCCTGTTCGAGTACACCCCCAAAACAAAATCAAGACTTTGTAAAAGAGCATAATAGGACCCCTTTAAGATGGTGGAATACCTTCTATTTTTAATTGTAATTTTTATACAAAGGATGATTAGTGACCATAATAATGCAGAATATTAAATATCGTCTTCATTTTACATCATAACATTACTTGGTTTTAAAGTGTCCAAAAAAATACTCTGTTTATTTACAGGCCTAAATGACATTTTGAATTCAATTTACAATGTGGTCTCAAGACTTCTGGACGTCACCCCACTGTATGTATAATTAGTTTTATATAAAAACAATAGCAGTCTATGGTGTGTTTGTTGACTGAAATGACTGATATTTTCTACACATTAGTTTCTGGTAAATGTGCACTGTAATCCATAGAGCATAATATGAACATCATGCCAAAATAATGTGAGATTAACAATATTATGACATACAAAAACTGCCAAAAAAAAAAATGGAAGAAAGCTAAGTTTAATACATCTATCTATTATACATTGTCTATCCAAACTGTTACACAAATGATAGTGTAGCTGTCAGATGCCAACGTTCTGTGACTGCTATTGATTAATTAATGTTAAAGGAAATTATCTTTAATTTTATACTTTAAAAATACTGTTATGATTTCCAGCTTGTATCTGTGAAATAATATTCAATCTCTGAAACACTAGGTCAGATTACAGTTTAAAAAAGAAGAAAAATAGAAAACACAAACAACCAATATACAAAATAATGCAGTTCAGTAACTAGACTATGTACAAGAGGCACAACCAGTACATAAAAGTGATGCACCCATTAATGAAATTATAAAATGGTAAACCGTGACCACTGCAGCTTAACATGCTGTATGATAAATTAGTATTTGATTGATTGATCTCTGCCCTTACACCAGTATCATGCTGGATTTCCGGCTGTGTTCGGAATTGCATACTTGCATACTGCAGCGTGTGGCTCTAAAGAGGTTAGTCACAAGGCATTTATGGCTAAAAATACAATAAGGCCATAACTGAGAGCCCATGAGCAAAGATGGCATCGTGCATGTTGTGTACTTCCAGGGCTGCATGCGCCTGCTGAGCCATTGAGATGACTGGAAAATACTCATGGAAAGCAGGTATTATTATAGAATTCATTGCAATGGACCTCTAAGAAACAGTTTAACACAAAATTAGATTAAAAATAGTAACTTTTTCAAATTAAGGCAAGACACTACTGTTACTGTGTAAAATCTGTTTTTTCATGCACTAGCCAATTTTGAGATTTTGGACTATTTTGCTTTCAAAACATCCAAAATGCACATTTAAGTGTTTATTGTTTATAAATGTTTATATATTTCAATGACAACATTTTTATTTTTCAAAATGAGTTTTTTCTTGCACACACCAGACTATCCAGTTTTATTATTATAAATAATATTACGTTTTTTGCAGAATGGTTTGTTCACGTAACATTTGTCAGAATGTTCCATATATAACATTTTATTTCTAAAAATATATATATATTTTTTTTTTTCTGGCTGTTGACAGTATTTTCTAATTTATGGAGTGATAAAATAGGATAAATGTTCTGTTAAACCCTTAAAATCTCAAGAATTTTAAACGTGGCTTTTGAATTTGAAACATTTCATAAAACCTGTAATACAAAGCAATTGTCTTAATGCACTGTGACTAATCAATTGGGAAAAGTATGGTGATTTGTTCAAATGTTTACTCTGCTCACCTGTAGTGTCTTGCATTAAACATGTGACACAACAGCTGCTTGAAAAGTTTTCCGTTCCATACTTTATGTGGTTTCAAATAAATAATAGTATACAGTACGTTAGTACTCCATTCCGTACACAGCCTGTGTGTCTCCACTGTTGTGCTGTTGCTGACATTGTTGCTGCTTTTGATATAGAAAATAAAGCAGAAATTGGAGCCATAACAGGACATTGCTGTTAAACATGGAGAGATGTAGCTACAATACATGCATGTGTAGATCACGCATAACAAATTGATTTAGTATATCCATAATCGCAAGACACCGAAAAGAAATGCGGTCAGGTTGGCACAACGTGTAAACCACAGCAACTTAAGAGTCTTTGTTTGGGGGGCACATGATGGTTAAAGGTGAAGTATGTAATAAATGTGACATTAGAGAACCAAATGCTAAAATAAGCTGTATTACAGAAACCTCCTATTGTAATTCTTCTTAAGATTTGAATTCCTAAGTGAAATGAACAAGTTACTAAACCAGGAGCAGAAAGTCTTGAATTCATTAATTCATGGCATTAAATGTTGCATGAGCTGTAAAAAAAAAAAAAAAAAAAAAATTTGTCTTGTTTTCCAGGAAAACATCTAAATATTCTTAAATCAAGATACGTTTGCTTGAGATGCGAAATGAAGGTATGAAGTCTGGTTTTGTGATAAATTTAACGTGAGGTTATGCTTAAAACAAGAACAAATATCTAACAGTGGGGTATAATTTTTTTCTATTTGAATTGAGCTCACTGGTAGATATTTGTTCTAAAAAGAAAATTGTATACATTTCTCAGAAGACAAGACTTCTTTTGTCATTTTGCATCTCAAGTAAATGTATCTTATTGATTTATGAATCTTTACACATTTGCACTGGAAAATAAGACAAAAATACTTACGAAGAACATTATTATTATTATTTTTTATTTTTTTGCAGTGTGATCATCAGTAGGTAGTCTGAAAAGAGTCCTAAAAAGTCTTGAATTGACCTTCATAAATCCTGCAGAAACCTTGTAAATAGAATATGATTATGGGTTAGGATGATTCTGTAATACAAGCCCAGGATTCCACTCTCCCCATTGGTCAGACAAACAGCAAGTCCCGCCCCCAAACTCATGCCATCGGTTGAAGCGCTGTTGCTATGTCAGGCGGGGCGGGATGTGCAAACAAACAAAGCAACAGTTTTATATTTATTGGGAAAATCAACCTACAGTGTCTGCATATTAGACTGGGTTGAGAAAAATTACACACTTCACCTTTAATGACCTTTAATTACAAGACCTTGACATCAGTATCCTCATATAGAAAATCTAGTGTCTCTTCAGGGTGAGTCATGAAGATCCATGAGCAATTTCCACTAATGCATATTCAAAGTATCCACTGTCTATTTACTTAGTCTGTTTCTCTTACTTTTTTTCCCTCAAATTTAAACACATGAACACAGTCTTATACCTCCAGTGGATTAAACCATACACATCAACAAACACTGGAAACGTTCATACTACACATCATGTGAGTCAGTTTGTGAATTGTGTCCGTCCAAAACCCACCACTGATTGTCCTCCTCAACCAGCCTGCTTTCAGAACTATGTCTTATCCATGCAGGTCCGATCAGGGTGCTGCTACTCCAGGATGTCCAGATAGACGGGCGGGTTCTTGACGAGGGCTACGAGCCGGCTGTAGATGTCCTTGATGACGAGCCTCTGCTGCGGTTCTCTCTGCCAGCAGCCCTGCATGAGGAGATGCACTTCCTTCGGGCAGGCTCGAGGCCGTTCAAGCTCTCGCCCCTGTGTGATGCACTCAATGGCCTGGAAAGAGGGTAAATATGTCATATTTACAGGCAGACAAGTGGAAAAAAATGGTAATAGTAGTTGTAGTTTAATCTGCTACTTTAAACCATTTCATAAAAAAATCTGTATGCCATTCATTTAATAATGCCAAAATATGACTCCATTTAAATAATCGAAATGTGTGTATGTGCGCGCGCATGCATGCGTGTGTGTGTGTGTATATATATATATATATATATATATATATATAATGATTGACCCCAATTAACTAATTGAAATTTGCAATTATTGCAGTTGATATAATTATGTGTATTATATAAATGGCCATACATTGTGTATTTTTTGAACATTGTAATATATTTGTAATTATTATTTGTTATTATTTAATTTTGTACTGTCTGTGTGTGATTGATATATATATATAACATACATTTAAATTTTTTTTGACATTTTAATTGATAATTATGTTGATAATATTATTATTGCTTAATTAATTAATATTGATTTCTATGAATTAATTAATATCAAGTAATTCATTTATTTTTATTATTACTAATGTTGTTGTTTTCTTTTTCTTTTTTTTCTGATGTCAACCTAGTGTGGTTCTAAAGTTGTTGTTTTTTTTTTGTCATTTATTTTTTAAAACCATTTTCCACCATCTCTATATGACCTTTTGAATTAAACTGCACTATTCTGCAGTGTTGTCTTTATGATTCCTATATAAACAATGTACGGTATTCATCTGTCTTACTTTAAAAAGTTGAAGACCTTCAGAACGAGCTGTTTGTGTAACTTAGTTTCAATGAATCCTCTTTTATTTAGTATAGAGGAAGTTCTAAACTTTACAGTACATTTTCATAGTACATGTATTTTATTTAACAGAAAAAAAATCAAATAAAATTTGATTTCTTATGATTTGACCCCTTTTACTCTCTTTTCTACAGGCAGCAGTTGGCTGTAAAGAAGCACCCTCTTCTCTCCAAGGCTATTCCTGGTTGCTATTTAAAACGCCAGTGATTTCAAGCCCTTATAGCATTGCCTCTTAATCAAATGAGGTGAAGAGACTGTCAGCACCACACAACATCATTCAGAAATGGGCTTTCAATCACTGCAATAAATTAACAAAAATTCACATTGACCCCTCTGAAAGTCTGGCACCCTCTCTCCTCGCAGATGGAAAGTTACGAACGATCCGTCTCCGTCCCATACAATTAGACTCTAGACAATTAGCTGTGCCCATCACGGCTCGAGAAGGATTAGGTTAACAAGGTTAAACAACGTCGGCCCAAGGCGAAGATGAGGTTTAATGGGACTCAAATCGAGTCGGCTGGAAGGTGATCTACCTCTCTGTTGAAAGAAGAGAGGCCTCTCCAGCGTAATAGTGCAGTTGTGGTCACACCAGAGTCCACTTTTTGGTGCCTAATCTGAGAGGTCTGATTCACTCTGGAACCGAAAAAATGTATTGATCTTCTCGTTCAGAAGTGTTTAAGAGCACGGTCTGATCCAGTCCAAAATGGATGTTCACATCACGATGAAGGTTGGGAATAGCTCTGTCTGTTTGCTTTAACTCACTGACCAGCGCTGATGCCATCAGACAGTCCAAATCACTTCTGCCATTGCAGGTAAACATTGCAGGAATCGTTTACGGTCAAATGAAAATTCATTTACTCTCTCTCTTGTTGTTCTAAACCTGTATTTTTTTTTCTTCACTCGAACACAAAAGGAGATATTTTGCAGAATGCTCAAGTTAAAAAGGGACAAAACTCCACAAAAGCATCATAAAAGTCTCATTAAAGCAGTCTGTACAAATGATTGTTCAAATGAATTGGTCAAAAAGAATCATAAGTCGTGTCCAAATCAAAATGAACTTACTGTTACTGTGTGATGGCTTAGTTACTAATTACTGACTGGCTGTTCATGTGACAAACATTTAGGTAAAGATACCAATTATGGGAGTTTTGTTTGAACGTACACTCTCATTCAGAAGTTTGGGGCTGGTAAGATTTTTAAATGTTGTTGAAAGAAGCCTCTTGTGCTCACAAAGGCTGCATTTATTTGATCAAAAGTAGAGTAAAATTGTGAAATATTATTCTAAATGTGAATACGTTTTAAAAATGCAGTTTATTCCTGTGGTCAAAGCTGAATTTGATTAAACGAAAGTTCAAAAGAACAGCATTTATTTGAAATAGAAATATACCATTACAAATATCTTTACTGTCACTTTACTGACCAATTTAATGCATCCTTTCTGGAAAAAAAATAATACACTTTTGAACGGTAGTGTAACATTGAGTGAAAAATTAAATATGTAAAATATAAAAATACTACAAAAATCATTAATGGGATCAATCAACAACAATCGATAAAAAATTTTTATTTCACTCTAAAAAATGCTGGGTTGTTTCAACCCAACATTGGGTCAAATATGGACTAACCCAACCGTTGGGTTAAATTTTTACATTAAATATTTAACCCAAAAGTTGGGTTAGTCCATATTTGACCCAAAGTTGGGTTGAAACAACCCAGCATTTTTTAGAGTGTTCCATCTATATACAGGAACAACTTGATGGTGAGTAAATGAAAGAATTGTAATTTTTTAGGTGAACTGTTTCTTTCAATTTTGTCTGTTTCGTGGTTGTATTGTTTTTAATATGTTTGACATTTTACTAGGCATGATTGTGCAGCCACACATGGTTGTCACAAACTTTGAACATTAAATGTGGTACTTTACCTCACTGTTGGATAGCTGATACCAGGGTTGTTTGCCGTAGGTGAAGATTTCCCAAAGGACCACTCCAAAGCTCCAGATGTCACTCTCCGTGGTGAACTTCCTGTACATGATGCTTTCTGGCGGCATCCAGCGAATGGGTAGCATCGTCCTCCCACCGACCTGATGAGGTGATCAAGAACAGATTACAACCAAACATCTCTGCTGTGGGTACATATACAAAATCACAAATGAGATCTTTTTAATGTCTCAAATGTTTCTCCCAGACCTTATCGAGATGCAGAAGAGAAGTCTCCAGTTTCTAAAGAGATCTGAACTGCATCTCAAATTATGATCAGATTTGTGACCCAAGTCAGAGATCTCAATATGAACACAGACCAAATGATCTGCCACTTTTATTTACAATATATTTTCCTTAGTTTCAGGAGAAACATATGAGACGATGTTGAAATTGAAATGAAGTGTTGTACCCTGTAGTAATCGGTGCTGTAAATGTCTCTCGACATCCCAAAGTCCCCGATCTTCACCACCAGCCCTTCTCCGACTAAACAGTTCCTGGTGGCCAGGTCTCTGTGGACGAAATGAAGGGAAGCGAGGTACACCATGCCCGAGGAGATCTGAGCTGCGATGTGGAGCATCTGAGGAAGAGTCAACTGACCCATCGGAGGAACCTTCATCTCGTCCAGGATACGAGCATCTGGACCATGAACTCTGTAAAGAAAACCACGCACATTATATAACAGCTTCTTAAAAACATAAACCTGAGAAAAGAGATGTGTTCAGAATGGCATACTAGCATACTACTTGTATTATTTTTGCATTATGTGCATGTTATGTGAATATGCATCGATTACCCAGATAGCCAACTAAACTTTCCTTGATGTTTAGCATACATTCAAAGCACACTACAGTCTTAAAGGGTTAGTTCACCCAAAAATGAAAATTCTGTCATTAATTACTCACCCAATAAAACCTCAGAAGGGTATTTTTAAAAGTTGATATCATAGAAGAACCATTTCAGGTTCCCAAAAGGACCTTTCAGTGAACCGTTCTTAAAAGAACCAGTGTGAGTACATTTTCTTAGTGTGAGTACATATTAATAATATAAAGAACCTTTTGTGGAATGGAAGGTTTCCGTGAATGTTGAAGGATCTCTACGGAACCATTGATGCCAATAAAGAACCATTATTTTTAAGAGTGTATGTGGAATACTGTATCCCACAATGCAATGCACTCTACTTCATCCTCGATAGAGTGCTTCAGGGATGATTTTTTTTTTTCAAGCTAACCCGAAAGTTAGCATCACCCTGGTTCCCTCAGCAAAAAGACAATAGGATTTTTCCATTGGGTTTTGGATTATGGCGGAAAATAAGCTATGTGACCAGCAAAAGTTTCTGATTCTAACACGTTTTGTTTATTAAGATGATCTTCTATAAACTAACACAACTTTTAAAGCCGAAATACGAACACCAGAAGTAAAAAGCTAAGTTAGGTTATAAACTAACTACACCACAGTTGCACAGCTTCAATGTCAACATCACTAAGCTTTCGACAACTCTATTGATCTTTACATTGTGCCAAGCCATCAGAACCGAACTGAAAAGTAAAAAAAAAAAAAAACGTTGTTAAAATCTGCCAATAGCAATGTGACAACAATGCAGCATGCTGCTTTTTATCGTTGCATGCTGTCTCTATAAAATAGCATTCCATTCTGAACACAGCCTTTTTATATACCAGCATCTGCATTGGTAATAGTAATTTGAAATGAATTATACTGTTGTACTTTTCAAACAAACTCCAGAGTGAAGTCGGTGCACTGTAAGTCACTTTGAACAAGAAAACATCTGCTGAATGACAGCACAAGCACCATTGGTCACCATTGCCTTGCGTGTCAGACCTCAATGTGCAAACCACTCTCTCCATTCATCCTAATATACGCATGTAAACTCTCTGCCACTCGCTTGCCTTCTGAGGTTTAGTATGTGATCCCTATTAGTTTAGCAGGCAGGTGGCAGGATGGGGCAGCTGCAACCGAGACTGGAGCCACATTTATACACATGAAAATGCGATTTCATCTCCCCCTCAAACATTCACATGTCCCACTCCCAATCTGGCCCCAGCAACCACCTGGCAAACAGACTGGATCTTTACGCACTGAGACCCAGCTGTGCTGGACATATGGTCAGTCAGTCCCCCATCAGCCACCTCACACTTCAGTGAACTTTACATCTTAATTAAAACTGGAGCATCACAAAGCTGGATCTGCATTTGGGCTCCATCGCTCTTCTAATAGGTTTGGGCTTTGAGTTTCAGATGTTATTGTGGATGTAGATGGAAATATGGTCAATGAAAGGCCTTGAATTTGATGCAACTTTTCATGTATACTCTTAAAAATAAAGGTTCCAAAAGGGGGGTTTTCACAGCAATGCCATAGATTAAACATTGTGGGTTACCAAAAGAAGCTTTCAGTGAGCAGTTTGGTGTAAAGAACATTTTAATGATCTAAAAAAACTTGTTCCTCTATAAAGAACCTTTTGTGCAATGGAAAGGTTCTATACTTAAAAAGTAATGGTTCTTTATTGGCACCTATGGATACATTGAGAACTTTTAACATCCATGTAACCTTTCCATTGCACGAAATTTACTTCATAGTGGAAAAAGGTTCTTAGATCATTAAAATTTTCTTCAGACTAGGGAAAAAAATGGCTATTTTAGGAACTGTTCACTGAAAGGTTCTTTGGTGAACCCAAAATATTGCATTGCTGCAAAACCCCCCTGATGGAAGAGTGTATGGATGTTAAAGGTTCTTCATGGAATCATAGATTCCAATAAAGAACCTTTATTGTTAAGAGTGTAAGCCCAAAATAAAATGCAGAAAGTTGACTTGCAGGCAAGATTATTAACTATAGCGACAGGTGAGAATCTGTTCTATGCTACAGTATACCAAAAAAAAAAAACCTTGCAAATTTGTTTGGTGTTTCCAAGGTTGTCCAAGAATGGCATGTATGAAGCTCCAAGGAAGCTCTTCAGTTTCCGACCGTTACACCACATTGCTGCCGCTGTAGTTAATTCGCTGTGAGTGGCTGGTGGTTATTAGACTGACCTTAGAAAGCGGTTGAGGTCTCCGTGTTGCATGTACTCAAACACCATGGCCAGAGGTTCTCCGTCTGTACACACGCCGTAGAACCGCACTATGTGTTCATGCTGCAGCACCGTGAGCAGCTCGGCCTCGCGCTGGAAGTCTTGGCGGGTGGACTCGTTGGCCACTTTCAAGGTCTGCACATGAAGACAGTCAGATATTAGTGGGCATACAATGTCCAAGCATTTGGACACTTTTAAAGAAATTTAATACAGGTAATAGGTTTTGGGAGATAAACTTGCTACTTACTGTTATTCAGAATTTAACGGCAATTCTTCATTCTGTTTGCTGCTTCAATTTTAAATTCATTACAGTTTGAATTACTCAGTTGGCGCTCAGCTCTGGTTTAATGCTTTGCAACAGTGTTTTTTAGTATTATATATATATACTATTATAGTATTATTAATATTTTGAATTATTTTATTTTTTATATTTTCAGTTGTCATTTTAATTTGTTAAATTTTAGTAACTTTGTTATGTGCTTTTGTCCTTTTAGAAATTTTTTTAATCTGTTTATTTCACTTTTAATAATTTTAGTTTTATTTAATTTTCTTAAGATTTTTTTAAATGCAAGTTATCTATTATTTATATTTCATTGTATTTAATTTTTAAAATTTTATTTTCTTTGCTAATGTAATATGTTTTCTGTGGTTGTTTTGAATGTTGTTGCTAATTTGCTTATTTAGCTAGTTATCTAGCTGGCTAAGATGAATGTGATTCTGCTAGAATTGTTAAAATTACTTGTGATAGACAAGTCTTGGAGGAATCAGAATGGGTTGCAAATCAGTAATGTTTTGCATTGTATGCCATCAGGCTCCAACAAATGTGTGATCTTGCACATGGAGTTACTGTATGCATATTAGCTGTATTTCTAGCTATTGTTGCTAATTAAAACATTTTGAGTGTAAAAAAAGAGGAAAAATACACATGCAAAATATTTGACAAAATTCAAAAACATGATTTTTTTTTTCTAGCACATAAAAAGACATTGCTTTAAAAAACATTACATAATGTTGAACTACAAGAATGTTAAGCCCTGATGATCATACCTTGATAGCAACCAGCATCTTGTCAGTATCAGGACAGAGGTTGGCACATTCCGCCAGGTAAACCTTACCAAAAGCTCCTTCACCCAGTTCCCACTTCAAAACAATGTCTTTTCTTTTAATGTGCTGGACATCTGCAAAATACAAAGTAGTAATCACTTTGATTTAGTACAAACTGAATCCGCATGCTAAAAAGTTGTGATATTATGGGATTGTGAGACACTCACACATGTCTTTATCTTTGATGATGCCACAGAAGTACTGCGGGTTCTCTACAAAACTGGACAAGCTAGAATCCAGCGTGCTGTCATCTGAAGACGGAGGACTTGCACCAAAGTTCATGAAGCGAAGAGATACGGCCAAATCATCCTCAGTGCCGAGAACAGACGAACCTGTGGGCACACAGACAGGAAGTGGCTCCCAAGCAGCTCCAGTTCGGCGTATTCTTTTCCTTTCTTCACATCTATATCCTGAGCCCATGTTAAGTTAATTAACTTATTGGCAATCACTGAGTCATCTGAAGTGCTCTACACAATTTCCTGTGTATAGTTTGACAACATAGTAGACATTACATTCTCTCTTATTTCCTACTCTCAGCCACTCACGTTTAACATTTTCACAGCTGTTTACTGTTGAAGTTGGACACTTAGAGTGGTCTAGGTCGGGGTTTTCAAAACCCCAGCACTGCACATTTTGTATGCCTTCCTTATCAGACACACCCAATTCAGGTCTTGCAGTCTCTACTAATGAGCTGATGAGTTGAATCAGGTGTGTTAGATGAGGGAGACATGCAAAATGTGCAGTGCTGGGGGTCCTCCAGGACAGGTTTGAAAACCACTGGTCTAGGTGATCAAATAACTAGATTTGGGCATTGTTTTGCAGTTGCTACCCCAACAGGGAACGTTCTTAGAACTTTGGCTAATGTTCTAGCAAGGTGCTGTAAAACTTTCTTCCAGAAATGCATATAGAACATTAATTTGAAGTTAAGTGGTCTTTAAAAATGTTCTCAGAATGTTTTTTTTTTTTTCAGACATTTTAGTTGGATGTTTAAATGTCAATTTCAGACATTTAAATGTTGAAATGAATTTTTTTTTAATGTAACCATTTGCTTCAGAACGTCCAGAGAACATTCAAAAGAATTTTTTTTTTAAATGTGGACGTTTTGAACGTTCAGAGAACATTCAGAAATAGCGTTTTCATAACTTAATGGTAACATTAGCTAAATGTTATTAGAACAGTGGTTTCAAACAGGGACCCAAAAGAGTGTGGAAAAGTTTAGAGAATTTTTTTTTAAATATTAATAATAAATAAACCAAAATCAATTTGACATAACATTAAAATAAAAATTATTGTAATTAAATTTATAAATAAATAAATATTGCATCTATCAGTATAATACTATAGTGA